GTGGCCACGGCGGGGGGCCACGTGACGGTGGCCGGCGTGACGGTGGCCACCGTGGTGACGGCCGTGCTGCTACTGGCCGCTGGACTGCTGATCACTCGCAGGTCAGGCGAAGCCACCCCCCCCCCACCCCCCCACCCCCCACTGGTGACAACGCGACGCTGTCCCGGAACAAAGTCAGACTCTCTGTTGAGACTGGAGGAGGAATCTGATAAGCTATGAAGCTCTTTGTCACAAACGTCTGGTCGAGGACAGATGACGCCGCGTGGCTTCTCGTTTGATGATCTCGCGCCAGAGTGACGTTGCGTTACATCAAAAAGTTTGTGTCCGCGACTTGTGGTAACTAAACTATTTTTGATCTTCTCTGACCAGTGGGTAAGGTACCCACTGCTGTGTAGCTCTTCATCAGAAGCAACCCGGCCATCACAAACGATCGCAGCTCAACCCAGTGGCTCACCATCATCATCATCATCACCATCATCATCACCATCATCATCACCATCATCATCACCATCATCATCACCATCATCATCACCATCATCATCACCATCGTCATCATCACCATCGTCATCGTCGTCGTCGTCACATGCGAATTTATAGTAGCAGCCACATGCTCTAAACACGTGGCATGTTGATTCTCAATGTGCACGGGAAAAACCGGAGGACCCAAAGAAAAATCCACGCGACAACGGAGAGAGACACAAACTCCAACTATACAGCAGCAGGGGTCAGGGTCAGGATCAAACCCACGACCTTCTGCATACCAGGCGAGGTAGTTAACATCTCCTAGCCACCGTGATTATGGAGAGAGGCACATGAACTCCAAATATACAGCAGCAGCAGGCGTCAGGGTCGGGATCGAACCCACGACCTCCTGCACATCAGGCGAGGGAGTTAACATCTCATAGCCACCGTGATGATGATGAGAGAGACACAAACTCCAAATATACAGCAGGCATCAGTGTCAGAATCAAACCTACAACCTCCTGCCTACCTGGCGAGGTAGTTAACATCTCGTTTTGTGCCGGACTATCTTGGCCTGCCCCCCCACCCATCCCAGAGGAGGCCACCACTCGCTAACAGGCAGCACTTGCCCTACGGGGCGGCGTGGGCTACACGGGAGACCTTTGCCTGCGGTGTGTGTGTGTATGTGGCAGGCGCTGTGGGTACAGCAAGGCCAAGCAGGATGATGAGAAGCAGCAGTTCGAGAACGGGCACGGTGAGACGCTGATGGCGATGATGATGATGCTGATGATGATGCTGATGATCATGATGATGCTGCTGATGATGCTGCTGGTGATGGTGATGATGCTGATGCTGCCGATGATGATGCTGCTGCTGATGATGCTGATGATGATGGTGATGATGATGCTGCTGATGCTGCTGATGATCGTGATGATGCTGCTGATGATGCTGATGATGATGCTGCTGATGATCGTGATGATGCTGCTGCTGATGCTGCTGATGATCATGATGATGCTGCTGATGATGCTGCTGGTGATGATGCTGATGCTGCCGATGATGATGCTACTGCTGATGATGCTGCTGATGATGCTGATGATGACGGTGATGATGCTGCTGCTGATGCTGCTGATGATCGTGATGATGCTGCTGATGATGCTGATGATGATGATGCTGATGATGATGATGCTGCTGCTGCCCCCATACTGAAGCATCGGTCAAAAAAGAGCTTCACAGCTCATCAGATTCCTCCTCCTACCCCCCCTCCTCCCCCCCCCTCCTCCTACCCCCCTACTCCTACCCCCCCTCCTCCCCCCCCCCTCCTTCCTGCCTCTTCCTCCCCCCCCTGATTGTGAGAATTGTGATGATTGTGATGATTGTAATGATTGTGATCGTGATGATCGTGATGATTGTAATGATTGTGATCGTGATGATTGTAATGGTTGTGAGAATTGTGATGATTGTAATGGTTGTGATCATGATGATTGCGATGATTGTGATTGTGATGATTGTAATGATTGTGATGATTGTAATGATTGTGATGATTGTAATGGTTGTGATCGTGATAATTGTGATGATTGTGATTGTGATGATTGTGATGATTGTAATGGTGGTGATTGTGATGGTCCCAGCGATGCTGCCTGGTGTCAGGTCCTACGTGGACCCCCACGCGTACGAGGACCCCAGCCTGGCGGTGCGCGAGTTCGCCAAGGAGATCGCTCCCTCGGCCATCAAGATCGAGAAGGTCATTGGTGGCGGTGAGCTGCCACCACCACCGCACCACCACCACCACCGCACCACCACCACCATCACCACCACCACCATCACCACCACCATCATCACCGCACCATCACCACCACCACCATCACCACTGCACCACCACCGCACTACCACCGCCACTACCACACCACCACCACCACCACCGCCACCGCACCACCACCACCACACCATCACCACCGCACCACCACCACCGCACTATACCACCGCCACTACCGCACCACCACCACTGCACCACCACCACCACCGCACCACCACCACTACGGCACCCCACCTCCCCACCTCCCCCGCCACTGGGGATGGCTGCCACCGGGGGTGCCCCTAAGCCGGGCCAAACAGCGCCATGGCGCTCACCGCCCTCCCCCCCCCTCCCCCCCTCTGCGCGTGCCACCGTGCCGGCAGCCTCCACAGCGGCTGCTGCTGCTTCGCGCTGCCGGCGCTTGGCCCCCACAGCCTGCTGGAGGCTGCACGGGGTTAGCAACTCCGTCTCTGTTTGTGTGTCCCCCCCTTCCACCTCGCCCCCCCCCCCAGGGGAGTTTGGCGAGGTGTGCCTGGGCCGTCTGCGCTGCGCCGTGGGGGGGGCCGGCGGCGCGGGGGGGGGCGGGGGGCTGCTGGGGGGCCGCAGGGAGACCTGCGTGGCCATCAAGACGCTGCGGCCCGGATACTCGGAGCAGCAGCGGCGCGACTTCCTGGCGGAGGCCAGCATCATGGGGCAGTTCGAGCACGGCAACGTGATCCAGCTGCGCGGGGTCGTCACCAAGAGTGAGAGGGGGGAGGGGAGGAGAGAGGGGGGAGGGATGGGGGGGGAGGGATGGGGTAGGGATTATGGAGAGAGAGATGGGGGGAGAGAGAGGATGAGCCGTAGTTGATTAAGCACTAAGACGAGTGAGTGAGTGCGTAACACGAAGAGTGAGGCCATGCGGTGGTGGTGGTGGTGGCATTGGTGGTGGTGGCCATGATGGTACAGGGTGGACTGTGAGAACGAGTGGTGTGTGTGTCTGTGGGAGTGTGTCTGTGTGAGTGTCTGTGTGTGTGTGTCTGTGTGTGTGTGTGTGTGTCTGTGTGTGTGTGTCTGTGTGTGTGTGTGTGTGTCTGTGTGTGTGTGTCTGTGTGTGTGTGTGTGTGTGTCTGTGTGTGTGTGTCTGTGTGTGTCTGTGTGTGTGTCTGTGTGAGTGTCTGTGTGAGTGTCTGTGTGTCTGTGTGTGTGTCTGTGTGTGTCTGTGTGTCTGTGTATGTGTGTGTCTGTGTGAGTACCTCAACCCATGACACCTGGGGTGTGTCCCGTGACCTCTTGCCATCGGCGAGAGCCTTCGATACATCATGCGATGGCACCTGCCCTGGCACAAGCGCCGTGGTGACGTCACCGACCCTTAGGCGCCTGGTCTGCAGGAGGTCGTTGGTTTGATCCCAACCCTGACGCCTGCTGTATATTTGTAGTTTGCGGTGTCTCTCTTGCCGTGACGATGATGACGATGATGACGATGATGACGATGATGACGATGATGACGATGATGATGACGATGATGACGATGATGATGATCATGAGCCACTTCGTTGAGCAATCATTTTTGATGGCCACGTCGCTTCTGATAAAGAGCTACATAGCTCAGTGGGGCCTTACCTGGTAAATGTAAAAAGTAGTTAAACTTAGTTGTAGGTTTACTTAGTGGTGAACGGCGGTTGTCTTTGTTGTTTTTGTTGGCAGGTAAACCGCTCATGATCGTCACAGAGTTCATGGAGAACGGCTCACTCGACTCCTTCCTCAGAGTAAGTCACGGCCATGACGGTAACGACGGCGGCCATGACGGTAACAACGGCGGCCATGACGGTAACAACGGCGGCCATGACGGTAACAACGACGGCCATGACGGTAACAACGACAGTGGCGACCATGACGGTAACAACGGCGGCCATGACGGTAACAACGATAACGTCAACATGCATCGCACCACTACACCGTGTTTGCTCGCTCTCATAATAAACATCTGTCCATCTCACTCTCCATCTCCTCCCCTCCCTCCCCATCTCTCCCTTCATCTCACCCCTCCCTCCCTGCCCCCCCCCCCCCGCGTGTGTGACGCGTGCGCGTCGTGCACGTGTCGTGCGCGCGTGTCGCGTGGTGCACGTGTGTGACGCGCGTGTCACGTGGTGCACGTGTGACGCGTGTGTCGCGTGCGCGTCCCCAGAGGAACGACGGGCGCTTTGCGGTGATGCAGCTGGTGGGCATGCTGCGTGGCGTGGCGGCCGGCATGCGCTACCTGGCCGACACCGGCTACGTCCACCGCGACCTGGCCGCCAGGAACGTCCTCGTCAGCGCCGGCCTCGTGTGCAAGGTCTCCGACTTTGGGCTCTCGCGCGTGCTGGAGGACGACTCGCACGCCACCTACACCACCGTGGTGAGCGGGGGGCGTCCACGCCTCCCCCACTCAGCACCTTGCCCACGTGTGTGTACGTGTGTGTGTACGTGTGTGTGTGTGTGTACATGTGTGTGTGTGTACATGTGTGTGTGTAGTCATGGACTCCCCTAAGGGACAGATCTAGAACTCGCAGAAATTCGCTGGAATTGGCTCCTTCCTCCAACCCGGCCATTACAAACTCCCCATGTGGTCACCCCCCTCACCCTCCCCAGCAGGGGGGTAAGATCCCGATCCGCTGGACGGCTCCCGAGGCGATAGTGCTGCGCACGTTCACGTGGGCGAGCGACGTGTGGAGCTACGGCGTCGTCATGTGGGAGGTGATGTCCTACGGGGAGCGGCCCTACTGGGACATGAGCAACCAGGACGTGAGTGCAGCCCCGCTCGCCCCGCTCGCCCCGCTTGCCCCGCTCGCCCCGCTCGCCCCGCTCGCCCCGCTCGCCCCGCTCGCCCCGCTCGCTTTTGGATCGCTCCACCGTTGTCCTTCTGTAACACGGCAATGGCGGTGGTTGCCGTTGCACTGTGTTATGGAAAAACTGCGTTATAATAAAGACTCTCTGATGTAGGAGGTAAAGCGCGATAACGCCGTGAGATGTGTAGTAACGCCGGGCCTGAACAAAGACCAAGCCGTGTGGTGGGTAGCGTCTAGAAGCATCATCCAGCAGCATCTCAATGCCTCGTGCGATGACGACAATGACGACGGTGACGATGGCGATGCTACATCCAGGCAGCCGTTACGACCGCCGCTTATTCCTACTCTGTTCACCCAAATTGTGTTACTACATCCAATTGGCGTCTGCGTTACAACAAAAATGTTGTTCCCTGTAATACATTCATCGTCGCGTTGTGTATCCAATTCGCGTTGTGCAAACACCATGTGGCGTTAGAGGAGAACGGACTGCGCTGCGAAATCTTGGCTCTCACGAAACTCAGTGAGGCTCTCCCAGGTTAACAAGCGGAATCGTAAAAGTATCAATCTCCATCTCGTCATCCCTCTCTCCATCTCTCTCCATCTCTTTCTCGCCACCTCTCTCTCGCCACCTCTCTCTACAAATAGTCTTGTTGTTGGTGTTTTGGTTGTGGGTTGTTGGTGGTCGAGGTGGTTGTTGAGCTGGTTAAGGTTGTGGTCGCCGCGCAGGTGATGAAGTCGATCGAGGAGGGCTACCGTCTGCCGGCGCCCATGGACTGCCCCGCCGCGCTCCACCAGCTCATGCTCGACTGCTGGCAGAAGGCCTGCGCCGACCGGCCCAAGTTCGGCCACATCCTCTCCCTTCTTGACCGCCTCATCCGCAACCCCAACAGCCTCAAGATCCTGGCCAACGCCACCACTAGGTATCCGGCCCCCGTACCCCCGCTCTCACGCTGACCCCCTCACCCTTATCGCTGAACCCTGGCCAACGCCACCACCGGGTGTCCAGCCCCTGTACCCCGCTCACACTGACCCCCTCTAAACCTAACACTAAGCCATAGACATTACCCCTTGCACTAGCCCTGAGAGTTAACCCCAAGCCGCTAGCCATAAGCCCTAACCCACAGCAGCAGACTGAAGCCGGAGTAGCTGTAGAGCACAGAGGAGGCCCGTGGTCTACTGGAGGCTTGAGCTGGCATAGTTGTAGAGCACAGAGGAGGCCTGCGGCCTACTGGAGGCTTGAGTTGGCATAGTTGTAGGGCACAGAGGAGGCCTTCAGCCTACTGGAGGCTTGAGTTGGCATAGTTGTAGGGCACAGAGGAGGCCTTCGGCCTACTGGAGGAGTGAGTTGGCAAAGCTGTAGAAGACAGAGGAGGCCTGTGGCCTACTGGAGGCTTGAGCTGGCATAGTTGTAGAGCACAGAGTAGGCCTGCGGCCTACTGGAGGCTTGAGCTGGCATAGCTGTAGAGCACAGAGGAGGCCTGCGGCCTACTGGAGGCTTGAGCTGGCATAGTTGTAGAGCACAGAGGAGGCCTGTGGCCTACTGGAGGCTTGAGCTGGCATAGCTGTAGAGCACAGAGGAGGCCCGCAGCCTACTGGAGGCTTGAGCTGGAATAGCTGTAGAGCACAGAGGAGGCCCGTGGCCTACTGGAGGCTTGAGCTGGCATAGCTGTAGGGCACAGAGAAGGCCTGTGGCTTACTGGAGGCTTGAGGTGGCGTAGCTGTAGAGCACAGAGGAGGCCCGCGGCCTACTGGAGGCTTGAGCTGGCATAGCTGTAGAGCACATAGGAGGCCTTCAGCCTACTGGAGGCTTGAGCTGGCATAGCGGTAGGGCACAGAGGAGGCCTGCGGCCTACTGGAAGCTTGAGTTGGCGTAGCAGTTGAGCTGAGTTTCGTCTGTGCTGCCCGTAGGCCACACAACCCGTTCTACGACCAGCACGCGCCGGGCTGTACCGCCTTCTCATCGGTGGGCGAGTGGCTGGACGCCATCAAGATGGGGCAGTACAAGGAGCGCTTCACCCGCGCCGGATACAGCTCGCTCGACGCAGTCGCCCGCATGACCATCGAGTGGGTCGCCCGCCCGCTCACTACTCACTCGCTACTCAGTCACTCACTACTCAGGCACTCACTACTCACTCATACTACTCGCTCACTCACTACTTACTCGCTACTCACTGACACGACTTACTCGCGATTTTATACTCAATACTCAGTCGCTCACTACTTGCACTACTCACTCACTACTCACACTACTTGCTCACTCACTACTCACTCACTACTTACTGACTTACTACGCTATACTCACTCGATACTCAGTCGCTCATTACTCACTTACTACTCACTCACTACTTACCCACTACTCTATACTCTCTCGATACTCTACATTTACAATCTACTCACTGTTCATTCACTTCTCTATACTCATTCGCTACACACTCACGATGCTATACTCACTATTCACTGCTAACTCAGTACTCACACACTTATCACTAATCACTGCTTACTCACCATCCACTACTTAATTACTGCTCTCTCACTAATTACTCATTATTCAGTCAATACTCAGTCACTCACTACTCACTACTTACTTGGCCCGGCTCATTCTGTAGTGGCCTTAACCCAATCAATCAATTATAAAAACCCGACATTTGTCTTTCCTCTTTCCTCCTCCTCCATCCTCCTGCCTCGTTCCTCCTCCTTTCTGCTCTTCCTCCGTCCATACTCCTCCTCCACCTCCTCCCACCACCCACGCAGCGACATCCGGCGGACGGGCATCACGCTGGTGGGACACCAGAAGAAGATCACAAACAGCATCCAGTCGATGAGGGCCCAGCTGATGCACGTGGACAACACGGAGGTCAAAGTTTAAACGCAACGACCGAGCGTGGTGACCACCGCGGCCACAACGGCCCCAAACGTCGGCACGTGCTCCGGATCCGTTTGTCGGCCCAACGTTTTGACCAACGTTAGGTCCAACGTCGCAGCAATGTCTGGCACCGACGTTGGCCCAACGCCGCCACCGAACGTTTGGCTCCGACGTTTCCAGTGTTGCGTGTGCCATCGGTCGGCTTGTGGTGTGAAGGTGCGGCCCTGCCCCAAACTCCCTTGCTCAGGGCGCGGGCTGGCGGAAGGCGCCCCAACTCGCTCCCCCCCCCCCCACTGCCCCACACCCCCCCCCATCTCCTCACAGGGCGCATCGTTTAAACGTGCGAGTGAGGGGCAAAGGGACCGTAATGGTTTGGGAAGCGCTTCTGCCGGGCTTTTGGTCACTTCACCAACGAGACTTTACTTTGGCCTACTCCATGTTGGCCACAACGTGTCACGGAAGAGCCGGGAGTTTACCCTCGCTTTAGATGACCGCCGGCTAGCCACTCGCCCGCCCACCCGCCCGCCCGTCCGCCCGCACGCTCGCATGCCCGCACGTCCGCGTGTGCTCGCGGGTGGACACGATCGGCTGGATTTAGGGATAGAAACTCGCACCGTTGGTTTGCGACCATGGTTCGATTCCATCTCCTGGCGCAACGCACCAGATTGCTAACCACCACACCTGTGCCACATTGGCCGCCTCCGATACGAGCGGCGGAGGAGGTCACATTTGGACGGGGTTTGTGCCGATATGGGGGGCTCGGTGGAACGCCAATTGAAAATGTTTTGATAGTAGCCGCCATATTGGGGCACTTGCAGGGCGGCCATTGAAAATGGCGGCCAAAGGAGAAAAAAATGGCTGCCAAAGGAGAAAAAAAAATGGCGGCCTGGAACAAAATGGCGGCCAGCGGCCATTGGAGGATTCGCCCGTACCTCTCCCGCGCTCACCGCCGCTGTGGGTGGTCGCTCTGTTGAGCCTGTGTCTTGCTCCGGTCTGCGGCACTCGAGTCTACGGCATTGGGAGTGCCGGCCTTAACTCTGCAATAGGGACCGTGCGCGCGTGTACGTGTGTATGTGTGTATGTGTGCGTATAGGTGTAGGTGTGCGTGTGTCTAGTGATGTAGTGGTGAGGGGTAGTGCAACGCTTAGCGCGCTGCACTACGAACCCGGCTCACGGTCAACACCGGTGACGGTTATCTGATTGGGTCCTGGGCCTCCTCGAGGTCGACTCAGCCTCAAATGAGTACCTGGTACGGTGTGTAGTAAGCATTGCCACTGGGGAGACAAAGTCGGCCGGGTGTGGTGTTGGCCACCCACCCCCTCGTGTGCCGTGCCGGCCTTCAGAGGTGCTCGCTAACAGCACTTGCCCCAACGGTCTGGTAAAGGCTTTCGGGTGGGATTCTTGTCTTTGTATAGCAATATAGTGGGGAGTGGTGGCGCAGCGGTTAGCGCGCCGCGCCACAATGCCCGGCGACGCCGAGTCCAATTCCCGCTCACGACCGACAACAGTGGCAGCGACAACTTGAATCGGTGCTGGGCGCCCGTCCCCTAGGTCGACTCAGCCTCATGAATGAGTGCCTCGTGCGGTGTGCAGTAAGCATCAGCATTGGGGGAGACAAAGGCGGCCGGGCGCGCGTGGTGCTGGCCACGCCAGACCTTCATAGGTGTGCCGTGCCGGCCTTCGTGGGTGCTGCTCGCTGACAGCACTTGGCCCAACAGCCTGGTAAAGGCTACACGGGGGGCCTTTGTCTTTTTTGTATTGCAATGTGCTTTGTATCGCGATGGTGATGCTGTTGCTGCTGTTGTGACGATGATAATGTTGCTGCTGTGGTTGTGACAACGGCGATGATGATGCTGTTGTCGTTGTTGTGACGACGATGACGATGCTGTCGTTGTTGTGATGACGGTGATGCTGCTGCTGGTGTCGTTGTGACGACGATGATGATGCTGTCGACGTTGTCGTGACGACGGCGATGCTGCTGATGTTGCGACGAGGGCGATGCTGCTGCGCAGTTTTTAAAACTGGGAGGGCGACCGACCGCCCCCCCCCCCCCACTGCCCGCCCCCCCCTCGAGTCAAACTCTCCCCACCCCCCCACTGCCCCCCTCCTCGAGTCAAACTCCCCCCTCCCCCCCACTGCCCCCCCCCCCCCCCCCCCCCCCCGCTGGCGGAAGGCGTTGAGACCACCGGGGATGTTTGTAGCGGATTTTGTGGGGGGAAGGAACGGGGCGGTTCCTAGAGAAGGGATGCGGGGGGTTTTGTGGGTAAGAGACGGTGGCTATGAGATGTTAACTGCCTCGCCTGGTAGGTATGAGGTCGTGGGTTCGATCCCGACCCTGACGCCTGCTGCTGCTGTCTATTTGGAGTTTGTGGCGTCTCTCTCCTCGTGGCCGCGTGGGTTTGTCTCCGGGTATTTGGCTGCCGCTATAAATGTCCACACAACGACGACGATGATGATGAGGCACTTGGTTGAGCCACTATCGCTTGTGGTGGCCACGTCGCTTCTGACAGAGACCTACACAGCAGCGCAGTGGGGCCCTGCCTGGTAACTACAAAACAAGTTTAAAAGTCTTAATCGGTTCACATTGTGGAGTGTTTTGTTTTGAGTACAAGGCCGCACGCTGCTGATGAGACACAGGGAGGCGGAATCCGGGTCCGCGGTTCAAACGAAAGCTGCCGGGGGCATTGATTTAATTATTTAATTTATTATCATCATCGTCGTCGTCGTGGTGGTGGTGGTTACGGTGCTACGTCGCATATCCCAGTCGGTGGGGATTCTCATCCTCATGTGGCTACCGCCTTGTTGAATTTAGTTTCAGCCGCGTGTTGACCCCGAGCGGTGACCCCGCGTGGTGACCCCACGTGGTGACCCCGAGTGGTGACCCCACGTGGAGACCCCGAGTGGTGACCCCACGTGGTGACCCCGAGTGGTGACCCCACGTGGTGACCCCGCGTGGTGACCCCACGTGGTGACCCCAAGTGGTGACCCCACGTGGTGACCCCGAGTGGTGACCCCGCGTGGTGACCCCGAGTGGTGACCCCGCGTGGTGACCCCACGTGGAGACCCTGAGTGATGACCCCGTGTGGTGACCCCTAGTGGTGACCCCGAGTGGTGACCCACACCCCCCCCCCTCCTCGCTTCGAGGTCACCACGCGGATTCACATTGTTTTTGGACCGTCCTCATTCTACAACTGGCAGATCCACGCGTGGGCACTCGCTACCACGCACGGTGTCACCTCGCGCCTGTTTGTGACCGCCACCTCGCGTGCCACCAACCCCCTGGGACGTGGCCACGTGCGTCCAAGCCGCTGGACACGGCTCGCGAGCGGCGGGCGAGCGAGTGGCTCGCACCCCGGGGGTGGCGGACCGTTCGTGACGCTCAGTGCGGAGTCTGCGGCATCGCACCGCATGCGAGATGAACTCGTGAGCTTTTAGACGGACCCCTTGCCCAGAGGTTTAGCGGCGGCTCTGTCGGTGGCCAGTGGTGGGAAATTCTGCGTTCCTATGGCAGGGGGGCGCTGGGTAGTGGGGCCAGTACGGTTTCGTAGGCAGTGTTGGTGATACTTGTGTGTGTGTGTGTGCGTGAGTGTGGCAGAGCCAGGAGATTTAATCTTTACCCTCGGGGCTCCTCCAGAAACAACAAAAAGCCACTACGGATGGCCACGTGGAATGTTCGAACGCTCACTGCGGGAGCTGGACCGTTACCGCCTGGATCTCTGTGGCATTCAGGAGGTCCGGTGGACCGGCTCTGGCTCCTGCCACCATGAGGGGTGGACAGTCCTCTACTCGGGGCAGGAGACCGCCAAACAACAGGGAGTGGCTCTTCTTCTGAACAAAAGAATGAAGGGGGCGTGGGAGCGTGGCGGTGAGCTGTGGGAAGCTGTAAACCCCCAGGCTACTTTGGACTATCCTTCCCATCAACCGGAGGCGAGGAGTGGTGGTCGTGGTTACTTATGTTCCCACCGAAGACGAACATCCATGGAGGGATGCAGGCAAGGCCGATGAGTCAGATGGCTTCTATGACCTCCTGTCACAGGTGCTGGCTAAAGTAGCCCCTCGGGATAGTCATCTTGTTGGGGGACTTCAATACCCGAGTTGGTCATGATGCTGGCACCTGGTCTGGAGTGATTGGAAGGCATGGGCCAGATCAGCTCAATAACAACGATAGGAAGCTGCTAGATTTTTGTGCAGCCCATGGACTTGTAATTACCAACACGCTGTTCCGGCATCGGCGCATCCACACAACATAATGATTGCATGCCGGGTCCAAGCAAGAACATCTGCTGGACTACATAGTGACTGACCAGCGGATGCGAGCCCATGTCCTTGACACCAGGACCTACCGTGGAGCTGATCTGCCCTCTGACAATCGACTAGTCATCTGTAAAATGCGCCTGCCATTCTTCCACTTCGGTGGTGGGTGTACACCCAGGACCCCATCCCAACCTAAGGTGGCCTGGTCTCAGCTAGCTGATGGAAGTTGCAAGAGAGAATTTCATCATCGCTTGCGGCTGGGGTTAACATCGTTCCCCACTCCTCCTGACGTCGAGGGTAAATGGGCGAGGTTTAGGACTGTGACTCATGCAGCTGCAATGGCTGCTTTGGGTACGCGGTTCAGACCTCCCCAGAGACACTGGCTGACAGAGGAGGTATTCAGGATGGTTGAGAAAAAGCAACAAGCCTACTCTAATCGTCTACAGCATCCCACGTCAGAGAATGAGGAGGTTTACCGCAGCCTTCGCTCGGAGGTTCGGAGAGCCGTGAGGCGCTGCAAGGATGGGTGGTGGTCGCGGGTTGCTGAGGAGATGGAGTCTGCCTCAGTGGCCCGCGATCACAAATCACTCTTTAACTCCATCAAAAAAGGAACCTGCAACGCCACACCTATTACCATCATTAGGGGAAAGAACGGTGATCCAATCTCCGACCCCCAGGAACAGGTTTGCAGATTTGTCCTGGGGGAAAGAAAATCTCTCCACATGGAAAACATTGTTGGACAAAGTGGGGATGACCCTGCTGAGGCTGCGGTGCCTCAAATATTGGAAGAGGAAGTCACCCCCTGTGAGTGGCTGTCTGAAGTGCCATCTGTTGAGGAAGTACTGAAGGCGATCCAGAATCTGAGACCAGGAAAGTCACCGGGCAGAGATTCAATCCCAAGAGAAATGCTGAGGGAGGGTGGCGTTTGTGCACAGACTGCCCTACATGACATCATAACAACAGTCTGGACGACTGGACGGGTTCCGCAGGACTGGAAGGATGCCCTGGTGGTCCCCATCTTTAAGAAGGGAGACCGCACAGACTGTAACAACTACAGGGGCATCTCACTCAATGTGCCCGGAAAGGTCCTGGCAAGGATTATTCAACATCGCCTTGCCAGGTACTCTGAGGAGAGGCTTGCAGAGCCCCAATTTGGTTTCAGAAAAGGGCGGTCCTGCACAGATGCCATATTTTTTGTCCGTTTGGTACAGCAGAGGTGTCCGGAATTCCAACAAGACCTACACCTGGTCAAGGCCTATGATACCATAAGTAGGCCTGGGCTCTGGGTTGTTCTTCGTGCTTTCGGAGTCCCTGACCGGCTGCTCACGATCATTAAGGACCTTCATGATGGTGAGCGGGCCCGGGTAAAACTACGTGGCCGGGAGTCGGAGCCATTCCCTGTTCAACTTGGGGTGCGACAAGGATGTCCTCTGGCTCCAACATTACTTAACATCTATTTCGACCACGTAGTTCGTGAAGCCTTCAGTAGCTGTACCAGATTTTCATCAGATTTCCATCTGGTACAGATACAATGGGAGGCTGATCGATGCCCGGGTGCGGTCAAGGGATGGCTCCCTATTGGTCAACCACGTTATTTATGCCGATGACCTGGTAATTGCGGCTCACCTGGGTCTGCCCCGTGACCTCCTGCCAGCGGGCGTTCGACACTTCACGTGGCCTCAAGGTGCACATGGCCTGGCACAAGCGTCGTGGTGACGTCACCGCCACTTAGTGGCGAATGGCGGTTGTTGTTGTGTGCGTGTGTGTGTGCGTGTGTGTCTGTGTGTGTGCGTGTGTGTGCGTTGGGGAGCGGTCAGCTCTGCACTGCGCGACGAACCCGCCAGAGGTCCCGAGTTCGATTCCCGCTCGCGACCAACAACATTGACGGCGAGTGTCTGAAACCGGTCCTGGGCCTCCCCTAGGTCGACTCAGCCTCACGAGCGAGTACGCGAGTGTAACAGACAGCACCGGCGGGCGGGGGGGAGACAAAGGCGGCCGGGTTTGGTGCTGGCCACTCCCCGTCGCGCGTGTGCCGTGCCGGCCTTCTCAATAGGTGCTCGCTAACAGCACTTGCCCCAACAGCCTGTTAAAGGCTGTACGGTGTGGGTGGCATCTTTGTCTTTGTGTGTATATAGACATTAATATATATATAACCAGCCTGTGAAAACTGAATATCGTAATAGCCCTGATCGACTTCACTCGAGCTGATGACGGGAAGGGGATCCGTGGTCTCGACAGAGAGGGAAGCCACGTGGTGCCACTACATCCCACGTGGTGCCACCACATCCCACGTGGTTCCACTACATCCCACGTGGTTCCACTACATCCCACGTGGTGCCACTACATCCCACGTGGTTCCACTACATCCCACGTGGTTCCACTACATCCCACGTGGTGCCACCACATCCCACGTGGTTCCACTACATCCCACGTGGTTCCACTACATCCCACGTGGTGCCACTACATCCCACGTGGTGCCACTACATCCCACGTGGTGCCACCACATCCCACGTGGTTCCACTACATCCCACGTGGTGCCACCACATCCCACGTGGTGCCACCACATCCCACGTGGTTCCACTACATCCCACGTGGTGCCACTACATCCCACGTGGTGCCACTACATCCCACGTGGTGCCACTACATCCCACGTGGTGCCACCACATCCCACGTGGTTCCACTACATCCCACGTGGTGCCACTACATCCCACGTGGTGCCACTACATCCCACGTGGTGCCACTACATCCCACGTGGTGCCACTACATCCCACGTGGTTTCACGACATCCCACGTGGTGTCACGACATCCCACGTGGTTCCACT